CCTAGTACAGCCCGGGGCAGCGTCGGGACAGCCCCGAGACAGCCCCGGGTCAACCCCGGGACAGCCCTGGGGTAGCCCCAAGGCAGACTCCGTACAGTCGCAGGGACAGACGCAGGGCCACCTCGGTAAAGCCCCGGGATATCCCCGGGGCAGCCTCGATCCAGCCCAGGGACAGCCCCGGGGTAGCCTCGAGATAGCCCCGAGGGAGCCCCGATCTAGCCTAGGGACAGCCCCGGGACAACCCCGGTGCAGCCCCGGTATAGCCCCGGGACAACCCCGAGACAGTCCCGGTAAAGCCCCGGTACAGCCCTGGGTGAGCCCCGGTACAGCCTCGGGACAGCCCCCGGGTAGGCCCGGTACAGCCCTGGGCCAGCCTCGGGACAACCCGAGGACAACCCCGGGGCAGCCCCGGGATAGCCCGGGGACAGCCCCGGGACAACCCGAGGACAACCCCGGGGCAGCCCCGGGATAGCCCGGGGACAGCCCCGGGACAACCCGAGGACAACCCCGGGGCAGCCCCGGGATAGCCCGGGGACAGCCCCGGGACAACCCGAGGACAACCCCGGGGCAGCCCCGGGATAGCCCGGGGACAGCCCCGGGACAACCCGAGGACAACCCCGGGGCAGCCCCGGGATAGCCCGGGGACAGCCCCGGGACAACCCGAGGACAACCCCGGGGCAGCCCCGGGATAGCCCGGGGACAGCCCCGGGACAACCCGAGGACAACCCCGGGGCAGCCCCGGGATAGCCCGGGGACAGCCCCGGGACAACCCGAGGACAACCCCGGGGCAGCCCCGGGATAGCCCGGGGACAGCCCCGGGACAGCCCTGGGACAGCCTGGGACAGCCTTGGGGCAGCCCCGGTACAGCCCCGGTACAACCCCAGGACAGCCCCGGGACAGCCCAAGGACAGCCTCGGGGTTGCCCCGGTACAGCCCCGGTACAGCCACGGGACAGCCCCTGTACAGCCCCGGGACAGCACTGGTATAGCCCCGGTACAGCCCCGGGTCAGACCCAGGACA